TTTAAATTTGAAACTTATATTTTTATTGGAAACTTTGAAAAAATGTATAAAGTTCCTATAAATGTTGAGTAAGTATTATTTTTAATTGATTAAAAATTAAAATAAGAAAACGCATTTTTACGCATATGCCTCGTCTAAGCTCGCCTAGCCCTGAGATTGGCCTTCACGCATTGCCACGCATTACGTCTTTTAGAACACTGGTCAAAGCCAAAGCCATTGGAATTTTCGGTAATGCTACTTGTACATTATGATGTACATAGGGGGTTACACCCCTCTCACATGGGCGGTGGGACCCACTCGAATAAAAAATATTATTCAAGTGGGTCCCACTCCCCCTGTGAGGGGGGGTCTAACCCCTATGTACAAGTAGACTAATTCTGGAATTTTTATTTTATACATTCCCGGTAGCTCCCCATTATTTTGACTTAATCAAATGAAAGAGAGAGAGAGGAGGGGGTAATTAAATTCACTAACATATTATATTGCGCACGTTCATTTAAAATGGAAAAGGTATACGATTTTCTCTTTTATGCAGTAAAATGGAAAGAATTGTGCCATTGATTTTCCTTCTCAGCAGTAAAAATGAAAAGAGTGAAATGAGCATTGCATTATGAGAAATCTCTATCCAGTGGGCTTGTATAATTTCTCCACCATTTTCCTGTACTCTGCCAAATAAAAAGAAAAAATTTATGAAAAATTTAGATCAGCAAATTTCTAGGGGAAAAAAGAGCTAAACCATTGATTAAAAAATATACCTTCTTGATTTCCCCATAGTGATGCTGCTTGAGTGTTGAGAGGTGAACTCGTGTTTGGCTCTACACGATAGCAAGCACGCAAAAACTTTCACATAATAGTCACAGCAGTATGATCAAGAGCAAAAAAACCAAATGAATCGTGCAAAATTTACCTCCAAGCAAGCTCTGAATGGATAGCAGTATTGTCCTCACATCGTAGGCAGACGACCATTTATCCTGTGAAAAATGAAAAATAACTGTCAGACACTCATGTCATATCTATTCTTTTCCTGTGAGACGAGTTGGAATAAGGTAATATGAGTAGAATCTGACAAAGAGGATACACAAGCTCGATTGAACTGTGGCTCTACTATTTGTAGAGAATAAAGATGTTACCACGTAAAGTAAAGCTTAAAAAAGCACTTTCGGAACTTAGCAAAAAGAGTTGGCAATTGCACTAGCTTGTGCACTAGTGCTGTTTGGTCTACTGCACAATACGGTCTAATATTGCAAACTAAACATGCAAATGCGTCCCTTTCTACAACTTTTCTAACAAGATAAGAACGTTTTTTGACACATTGATATAAGGTAAAGCGAGCAATGCAGCTATAAAATTGAGAAAAATATTATTCAACAATAACCTGTAATATGTCCAAGCATATATTCCCGTGCATATCGAAGTTGGGGTGAAAGCAGCTTGTCTCAAATTTGACCTTTGGAGGCTTGAAAGGGTAGTCGGAAGGGAAGGATAGTGACAACTTGTATTCTGTTCCTTCAAATACTGTATCTTTGCTGCCAGTAATTGTTCCTTTCCAATGGAATATGTTATCTTCCTCAGGGAAAGCTGATATTCCAGAATCTCCGCTCATCTAAGATTCAAGAATTTAGCCCAAAAAAATCAGAATCAGTTGCCACAAAAAAAGGCGCTTGGGGTGAATAAGTCTAGTCGAGGATACTAAACCCTTGTTTGGGCTCCATTAAATAAAAAATAATTTATTTAAATCTCATTTTCAACTACAAATTTTTTCAATAAAAAAATATTACACATGAACCCGAATTTTCCTTACTTCTTGACCACACATTCTACGAAAATTTACTATTTCAAAATACATTTTTTTCCAAAACATCGTTAAAATGGTTCTTACCATTAGGGCCATCAGTTCAGATTGCAACCTGTTCATAAAAGAAAAGCTAAAAGTCAGGATCAGAAATGATTTTAGCTTTATAAAATCCACCAAGAAGATTAATTAACAAGTAAAGAAAACTTGCCGAGAACATAATCTCTAACTACTCAAAAAATTAAGGATTTCTTAAATCATCGAAAAATACAAATCAAGAAAATTACTTCAAACCCTAGATTTTAATTTATAATAAAAATAGAAAATCCCAGTTCAAAGCAGATCATATCATTATAGCCAAAATATATATGTACCTTTTCAGAACAGACTGTGTATCAACGGTTTTTGAAGTTAGAAAAGTCGTCTTGGACGGTGCCACCACCTGTCCGCCGCCGCCTCCGGTGTTTGTGCTGTTGTCTTGATGGTGGCTGTTGTTAGTTGTAGCCATCGTCTTTCTGTATCAAGACCAGTGATTTCCAAGAAAATGAAAATGCAGGTTTCAAATTGCAATTATTGGAAAGAAGAAGAAGAGAGATAACGGGAAAATCTCTTATTCTTCCTACAGAGAGAGAGAGAGCGAGAGTGATGGAGAGATGTGAGTGGGTGTTTATGTAAGGGAAAATGATGGACTAAACGTCGTCGCTTTAAGATTTTCGAACGTTATATGCGCGGCGCAAATGGTGGTGTTTTTCTTCTAACGGCTAGTTTATTAGGTCTAACATTTTTAATTTTCAAAACCAAAAATAGAAATCCAAACAATAAAGAAATAAAAATTGGGTATCGATATTTATTATACTATCAACTTTAATTTATAATCTTTTATTGTTTTATAACAATTATTAACTAGAATTGTTAGTAAATCAAACACAATTTGGAATACTTAACTGAATCTTGATTCATCACGTTTAGAATTATTATTTTATTATTATTATTTTTTTAAGTTTGGTTGATTTAAAGCTACTTGTAAACACGATGATTATCAAGCAAATTTATAATAGACATTCGTTATAAATTAAGGACATAATTGATACGAGTTGACTTCTACATTTGATTTTATTTCTTGTACAAAAATTTCATGACGAAACTACCTTAATTAACATTTGAAAACTAATTTCTAAAAATACTTCCAAACTCGGAAGAGCTTTTAGAAGAATCCACCTAGAACCAACTTTTTTTTAAAAATTATTTAAACTACTTTTTTTTTATAAAATTAATTGAACGGATCTCATATGCTCTTTTAACTTCTCAAAAATCATGTCAAACGAACCTTGACATCAACTGTCAACATATAAGGTAGGTAAATAGGTATAGTTGAAAGATTAGACAAGCTTGGATGCAGGACAAAAACATAAGTACAATTCTCTTACAACATCAAGAGTGAGAAGTTTTTATCCCATACATTGAAAAGATCAATTTCAAAAGATTGGTAGATAGTAGTGAATAAATTAAAATCAGCATAGCCCACCTTTGCCAAACAAGACGTACCTAAGAATATTGAAGAAGATTTTAACTCCAATCTTCTTATTTTTTTGTTTAACATTGTACACTGTTGCACATTGATTCCACCTTGTCTCAATAGAAAATTTGAAAAGAAGGATTTCACACTGACTGGCTGGCTTTGAATTTGGAATGGAGATGCAACAAGGAAAGCATACTTGTGCAAGCAATGAATAGATGGCCAAAATAGCATTTTATAATCACTGATAATTTGCAAAAGATTCTATCAAACTGAGAGTTATAAGATCCAACATCAAAAATTGCATTTACTTAGACAACAGAACAAAAAGGGATGAAACCCGCACAAGAAAACTCTCAAATATTTGAACCAAGTTTAACGAAACTATTTTTGGATTATGAGTTCTTTAAAGCTGATAATGCGTCTTTTGTTGTTGCAGAAATAATAGCATCAGAAGCATTCGGCAAGTAGTAATACTTTCCTGGAGAACAAAACAATAAAATTAAAACATAATATAATTATGTGCAATTGAAAAATTAGGAGGCTTCAAGTTGCATACCTTGAGCAACTCTTGCAATCTCTTTGGCAAAACCAGTTGAAACGAACTTATTTTCTGTATCGATGACAAGGAGAGACATCCCAGCCTTGTAAATTTTACCAGCCACCTCGAGAATTTCATCCTACAAGAGAGCACTTTTTTAAGCTTAGCCAACTAAAGTTCATTGGAACATTCTTAGGTAACATGAGTACATGATGTCAGTGTATCACAAATTATTCACCATACCATGTATATAATCACATTCCTTTTTTTATGTTGTAAATATAGAATATGGGTTGTAATTAGGAGATGACGTTTTGACTTTAATTAGCAAAGTGCTGTAATTAGGAGATTTGATAGTATAGGCTGTAATTAGGGAAACAATTCCTATTTGACGAGAAGAAACTCTCGATTGAGAGGCATCGAGACAAAACTGACATGGTATCAGAGCTACCTTTGATTCTACAGTCTTCTTAGTCAATTTCTAGGTTTTTCAGTTCTGGTCCAGAATTAATCTAACCAATTTACCGATTTAATCTGGCGTCTGGATTCGTTGTTCAGGATTCTATTTTCTTTTGGTTTTGGGTTCTTCTTCTAGAGGTAAGTAACTTTGTCGGGTTGATTTTCCGACAGCTTTGTTCCTCAGTTTGGTCGGCAGTATATGGCAGCGTCACGAGTAGATTGCAGAGAAAGCTTCGTTCTGAGAGAAGGAAGATTTGGGCTGCAATTTTAGAGGTTTTATGAAGTTTCTTTTGGGCTATTAATATTTCAGCTTGTTGTTGGGCTAATATTTTAAGTTGTTAAGTCTTCAGTAGTTTAGCATATTGTTGGGTTGTTATTTTGGACTTTATTACGAGAAAATTACACCCACACCTGTAAATAGATTTCCAATTTCACAAATCTAATAACAAGTTCAACATTTCAAAAATCAGGTTTTATTTAATAATTTAAAAATATTTTTTATTTTTATTTTTATATCTATATACAATAAAAGGAAATTGACCCCAAACAAACCCTAATCATTTCAACCACTTCTTCCCCTCCACCCTTTCTCCTCCCACCGCCCGCCGCCCCCTCCACTCTCATCCTCCTCCCGTCTCTCTACTCTACACCACCGCCGCCACCCCCACAGTCACGGTCGTTGACTTCTTCCTCTCCTCCTTCTCTCTACAACTATCCCTCTCTCTCGTCTCCACGGCTGCTGCTGGCCCAGATCCGCCGCCTCTCTCCGCGTAGCAGTTCGCGGCAGCGTCGATGCTGCCGTTCGTGATGTTGTTGCTACTGCAGCTTGCAGCAGCGATCTTATAGTAGAGGCGTCGCCACGCTGCTGCAGTTCGCGAACGGTAGTGGTTATTGTGGTTTTTGATGGTTTTTGTCACATATCCGTTGTACTTTTGTGGTTTTTGATGGTATTTGTGCACAAATCCGTTGTAGTTTTTGTGGTTTTTGATGGTTTTTGTGCACAGATCCCGCGGCGGTGGTGTTGATAGCCATCCAGAGGCGACGGCGGTGTTTTTGTGTGGTTGGATGCGACGGTGGTGGTAGTGTTTTTGTGTGGTGGTAGTGGTGTTTTGTGTGGGGTGTTGGTTGTTGCGACGGTGGTGTTGGTACTGGTTGCCGTAAGGTGGTGGCGGTTTTGTGGTGGGGGCGGCGACGGTAGTGGTTATTGTTGGTGGTATGTGGTTATCTGTGACAAAAAAATTATTAATTTGTGACCTAAAAATTATTAATTGTGACTAATAAATTGATAAATTGTGACCCAAATAAGTATTGTGACTTATAATTTTTGGGATTTGTGACCGATGAACAAATTGTGACTTTTAAATTTCTAAGTTGTGACTTAAAAATTTTTCGCCGGAATCGGAGCAGTCGTCAGAACGGTCGTAACCGGAATGGTTGCCGGAATAATCCCCGGAGCGGTAGGGGTGGTGGAGGTGGGATGGGGTAATAATATTATAATAGAATTAAATATTTAATAATAAATTGATTTAATAATTCATTAATTCATAAATAAAAAATTAAAAAACCTGAATTGTGAAATTTGAAACTTGTTTTTGTATTTTTGAAAATGTGTAAAGTAAAACCTTAGAAATGTACTGTTCCCTTTTATTATTGCATTGGGCTGTTAAGTCTTTGATATTTCAGCTGATATTTTGGGCTATTATTGTTGCTTTGGAATATTGTGGTTGTTGGGCTGCTGTTTTGTTATAACTTGATTTACTTTTTTTGGCTACCATTGGCGATCATAGTGGGCTGTTGGGCTGCTATTGCTTTATAAAATAATCTACTGAATTATTTTTGGGCTTCTTGTATTTATGATGTCAACAGAAAATACTATTGTTCGTTTTAATGGCAGAGAGATTCAGTTCAAGATGTTTATAAAATGCAAAGAATTGTGGGGACATTTGGATAGGTCATCTACGACTCCTACAGAGACAAAGGAGATAGAACAATGGGAAAGTAAAGATGCTGGGATTATCTCCTAGATGTTGGGATCAATCGAACCTCATATGATATCCAATTTCGCTCATGCCCTACCGCCAAGGAGATGTGAGATTATCTCAAACGTGTTTACAATCAAATATGTCCTCACAAGTTATTAATGTTGCATATGCTGCCCAAGGACGAGGAAAAGCTAAATCTCAACCACAGTGCTATAGCCACAAGGAGTTTGGCCATATTGCCAAGAATTGTAGCGAGAAATTTTGCAATTATTGCAAGGAGGGACACATCATCAATGATTGATGCGTACGACCTCGGAATCACCAAGCTAAGATTTTCAAGCTAATGTTCAATCAACCCTAGCTGGTGATCAAAGATATGTAAGTAGTACATCTACTCTCACACCCGAGATGGTGCAACAAATGAATCAGATGATTATATAGATAGCTACCAATAACTGGAATTGGGAACTTGGAGCCATCATAATTGGGAACTTGGAGCCATCATTTAACGTGTTTATATCTCCTGATTTATCTACAAGTTTGATTTATGTTGGACAATTAGTGGATAATAATTGTGAAGTTCATTTTGGGCATGATGGTTGTTTTGTGCAGGATCAAGCATTAGGGAAAGTGATCACGAAGGAGTCTAAAGTAGGACATTTGTTTCCTCTCCAATTTTTCATTCCTAGTACTATTTCTTTTGCTTACACAGCTTTGGCTCATCCTTCTAAGTTTTGGGTCGAAACTTTATCTACAGCTGTATATTTGATTAATCGTTTGCCTTCTTCAACGTTGGACTATGACTCTCCCTACTCTCGTTTGTTTGGTGATATTCCTGACTATCATTCTTTACATACTTTTGGTTGTGTCTGCTTTGTTCATTTGCCAATCACTGAACATCACAAACTTATAGCTCAATCAACTCAATGTGCTTTCATGGGATACAGTCCTACACATAAAGGGTTTATATGTTACGATGCGAATGCTAATAAGGTACGTGTCTCTAGAAATGTGGTTTTCTTCCAAAACCAATATTTTATATCACTCCTGACTCCACTTCTACCATTCTTCTTACCTTTGATGTTGAGCCTTATCATATTGAACGTTTTAAACTAGGAATTGTGCATCAAAGACGTCCCCTACTACTTTCAGCGCCCAATCTCGAACCAACGTTTGATCTCGAATCAGCTCCTAGTCATCCAGAGCCTGAACTAAGACGCTCCAATCGTATCACTCATCCTTTAGATAAGTATGGTTTCTCACATACTGCACTCCAGGCCACTATTGATATTACTTCTATCCTAAAATCATACTCTCAGGCTGCTAGTCAAGCATGCTCGAAGCAAGCTATGAATGAAGAACTTTGGACTCTTCAGGATAATCATACTTGGGCCATTGTTCGTTGTCCAGATGGGGTGAAAGTAATTGGATGCAAATGGGTTTACACAAAGAAGCTACATGCTAATGGTTCCATTTAACGACATAAGGCACGTCTTGTAACACTTGGAAAAAGACAGGAATATGGCCTCGACTATGAAGAGACTTTTGCACCGGTGGCTAAGATGACTAGTATGCACTATCATTGCCATCGCTACATCATTCAAAAATCAGGTTTTATTTAATAATTTAAAAATATTTTTTATTTTTATTTTTATATCTATATACAATAAAAGGAAATTGACCCCAACCAAACCCTAATCATTTCAACCACTTCTTCCCCTCCACCCTCTCTCCTCCACCGCCCCCTCCACTGTCATCCTCCTCCCGTCTCTCTGCTCTACGTCGCCGCAGTCACGGTCGTCGACTTCTTCCTCTCCTCCTCTCTACAACTCTCCCTCTCTCGTCTCCACGGCTGCTATCGGCCTAGGTCCGCCCCTCTCTCCGCGTAGCAGTTCGCGGCAGCGTCGACGCTGCCATTCGCGACACTACTGCTACCGCAGTTTGCAACAGCGATCTCACAGTAGAGGCGTCGCCACGCTGCTGCAGTTCGCAGCGGCGTCGCTACACTGCTGTAGTTCGCGAACGGTAGTGGTTATTGTGGTTTTTGATGGTTTTTGTCACAGATCCGTTGTATTCTTGTGGTTTTTGATGGTGTTTGTGCACAGATCCGTTGTAGTTTTTGTGGTTTTTGTGCGTAGATCCCGCGGCGGTGGTGTTGATAGCCATCCAGCGGCGGCATCGGCGTTTTTGTGTGGTTGGATGCGACGGTGGTGGTAGTGTTTTTGTGTGGTGGTAGTGGTGTTTTATGTAGGGTGTTGGTTGTTGCGACGGTGGTGTTGGTACTAGTTGCCGTGAGGTGGTGGCGGTTTTGTGGCGGGGGCGACGACGGTAGTGGTTATTGTTGGTGGTATGTGACCAAGTATTTGGTTATCTATGACCAAAAAATTATTAATTTGTGACCTAAAAATTATTAATTGTGACTAATAAATTGTGACCTAAATAAGTATTGTGACTTATAAATTTTGGGATATGTGACCGATGAACAAATTGTGACTTTTAAATTTCTAAGTTGTGACTTAAAAATTTTTCGCCGGAATCGGAGCAGTCGTCAGAACGGTCGTAACCGGAATGGTTGCCGGAATAATCCCCGGAGCGGTAGGGGTGGTGGAGGTGGGATGGGGTAATAATATTATAATAGAATTAAATATTTAATAATAAATTGATTTAATAATTCATTAATTCATAAATAAAAAATTAAAAAACCTGATTTGTGAAATTTGAAACTTGTTTTTGTATTTTTGAAAATGTGTAAAGTAAATACCTTAGAAAT